GATATGCAACAGTAATCAACAAACTTTGACCTCATTGGATTTTCTTTTCTTTTTAATGTCTACATCACTAACCCTCTTCCCGTATCCAGCTTGTAAAGGTCATATCCTGAGTGTGGTTTCCACCAATCAGCACCCTGACTGAGAGAATAATTGATTTGAAGGATCTGAATGGAGCTGAATAAGTGGTACAGCAGTTATAAAATATGGATAGCCATTCACTGAGCATTAGTCAATTATTCACAGAGTCAGGCGTTCATTCATGTCTACAACACCGGTGAAATGATGTTTTACTCATCTAAAATAATAGAGTATTTTTGATATAATTTAGGAGTATAGATTTTAAAAAAAAGGTGCTTAATTAAATTCTGACAGTATCGTAGAGGGATGTAGTTTAATATATATCAGGAATGTTAGACTTTAAGAGACACCATTTGAAATAACATCCATTTCTTCAGTTCTACTATAACACTGGGTTGAATGTATCTGCTGGTGACCCCTCAGAAACTGACCTGAGTTCAGTTTTACTCTCCATGACTGTGTTTAAGTGGATAAACGCTCTCCATTTTCTGGTTGGAAAGACCTGTTTATAATTGCATCACCCTATGAAAATCCCACAAAAAAAATAAAAAATAATCCCCATTCAACTACCGGTTAACTCTAAAATACCCATCCAAGTAAAATTTGCCTAATTTCACTCAAAAACCTAAATCATAGTGTAAAGTTTTTGTCTCATCAAAGTTGACACAGCTTTAGTTTAAAACCTGGTCAAATCAGCCAAGAAACAAAAGCTTTCCTGATAAATGGGGAGTAATTTCTTCAGAAGCTGATCTGAGGTCAGTGTCCACCTCCTCCCTTAGTCAGCTGAACAAAGCTTTACTACAGCAATAATGTAAAGAGTTAACCAATGAGGGGCGAGATGAATGTATCAGATGACAGCTGTGTTATTACTTTCATTTTGAATGGCATCAGTGTATCCTTATTTCATGACTTGATTTAATCAAAGCAGTGTCACAGATTCTCTAGAACATAAAACTCCTAATATCATTTTAATTCCTTTTTATTAATGTCATATTCTCTACTTCCTGCTTTGCTCTTCTTTTCCCGCTGTTATCTTGCATCTAAAGTCTTCATGCTCGACATTTCTTATTTTGTAACTCTGTACAGTCATCTACAAGTTTATAAAGGAGAAATTAAGAGCAATATATATTTATTTTTTGTCCGTCTAAGTCCATCTTGCTACTGTAAATAGCAGAAGAATGATAGTGATGATCACTGGCGTGCTGAAGAGGCTTGGCACAATTTGTAGAGCAGCTTCTGATGGTTCAAAAAAACATGGCGGCATGTCGCCTGTAACCATTGGCAACCTCTATCCACACACGTCATGACAAGCTTCCATTATTAAGTCTCTGATTGTAGTGTGTGTGTGTGTGTGTGTGTATGTAATATGTTTATATGCTCTGTAAATGCATTTTGCTTTTCAAAAAACCTGTAATTATTGTTAATTAACTGAAACAGAGGAATAAATAAAGAACTGCAATAAATTATTCTACTTAACAACAGTGATCTGCTGTCTTTGTCTTACCACTGGTCTTTGTTTTTATATTTGTTACACACACACACACACACACACACTATAACAATGACTCTTTGAAGGCCTCCACTGATTGTTTCATGTTTTCAGAAGCTGTAAAACCTGAATTAAACTGAAGAAGAGATACAAAATCTAACCTTTTCATAACACTTTGCAAAGGTTTAAAAAGTTGTGTGACCTGAGTGCGTGTTTGTGAGACAGTGATGACGTTGGGTGACACTTTCTACCTTTGCATCGTGTCGCTGTGGCTGCTGCAGGGGCCCTCAGTCCTCTTGTGGTCTGTACGTGTCGCTTTATCGCGGTTCCTCTCTTCAGGGAAGTCTGGTTATGTATGCGTAAACATGTGACCGGGTTCCTGGTACTGCAACGATACTAAGATGCTCTGTGTATGTTTTTTTTCTTCTCTTTACTAAACCACAGTCATTTGCATTCAATTGATGTTTTGATCTTTGACAGATTTGAAGATTTGTCGAGTTTACCCTTCATGTCGGCATGTCACCTAGTTTGAAACAACAGTGGCTAACACTTCTGAGTATTAGCTTTTGACAAAAGATTAACATTGTTGTTGTCTGAGGCATGGCCTACTACCACACTGGTGAGCTTTAAGATGACTGTTTTGCACGTTGTTTTCCCTTTAAACAGATAAAGGCACTGCTAGGTACATTGTGTTCCCTCCGACAAAGCAAGGCTAGCAGTTTCCCTTTGTTTTCAGTCTTTATGCTAAGCTAGGCTATCATGTGACTGCCTGTCAAATGAATAGACATTATACTTATTTAATGAATAGACATGAGAGCGGTGCCAGTCTTCTCAACCCAACATGAAGTGTGTGTGTGTGTGTGTGTGTGTGTGTGTGTGTGTGTGTGTGTGTGTGTGTGTGTGTGTGTGTGTGTGTGTGTGTGTGTGTGTGTTTATCTTTATCGGACACAAAACTCCAACCCAGGATTCCTCAGAAAACAGGTGATAAGAACGCAATCACAGAACACCTCACTTCACGTTTCACTTCTCTAAATTGTGTGTTAAGTTCTACTAACTGAGAAGCTATGAATGGAACTGCCACGTATGATTCACTCGACACATACACACACACATACACACACATGTAACACATAAAACACACACGTTGTGCTTGAATGAAAAGACAAGATAATAAAGAGTTATTACACATACCACTGTTTTTATTACTGACTCATGTTATACTTTAATCTGAGTTTTTTTCCACCTCTGCTCAGTCTCTTCCTCAACCTGAGATAAATATATCCTCAAACTAGTCAGGTTTTACTTGAATCAAGCTGTGAGTGTTATCTTCATTATTACTCAGCATGATGTGGTTGTGTGTGTGTGGCAACATTATTTGAAACCCAAAGCCAATGGAAAAAATCCCCCCAAAGATCAAAAGCCATAAGATAAGGTTTGGTTTTAGCGTTGGAGTTCTTGTTACAAGGAAGAGGTTGGAGGTTTGTTAAAGTTATGATTCCATAACCTAAATTTAGAAATGACTAGTACATTACACTGTCTGAAAAAGAGACTCATGCTCTCAGAGATGTCATGAAACTGAAAATGTTAGAATAATGAATCTGCTTCCTATAGATAATTTCAGTACGAGCTAAAGCTAATCTCATTTAGCCTACTGCTAACAAACATTCTGTTATACAATGCTTTAAAAACTTCAACAAGTCTTTTTTTTACAAATAAAATACTTCAGTGCTAATTTAACGAATTAACTGTTTTAAGTTACATTTTGTGAAATAAATGTCGCTTTCTTGCTAAATTAGACAAGAAGATGTTTCAAATATAAACTCAAGCTAGCAGCTGGTTAGCTTAGCTTTGAAAAAAGACTGCACATTGAGGTAATGGCAACACTGCTCTGTCTGCAGCACATACTCCAAACAGCACCTCTAACATTCATCAAACAAAACATATCTCTTTTTTTCAATCCGTCCAATATATAAAAAAAGTGTAAACCAGCCGAATCCAAGTGACTGCCCGGTCAAGAAATAACTAAAACCGATTTGTTTGGCCTTTACACCTTATTATTTTAAGGATTTAACAAGCTATAGGCCTATTGGTTTAATTAATTATGTTTGAGGTGGTGGTGGTGGTAGGCAGATGTTGATACCTTTTGGAGATACTAGCTGCTTCCACTCCAGTCTTTATGCTAGGCTAAGCTAAGATAACTGGCTTCTCTACAAACATGATCCCATCTAACTCGCAGCAAGATACCGAGTAGTAGGCTAGTATCTGAAAAGTGTCAGGAATTCCCACAAAGGGTTAAACAACCATACAAAGAAAACACACTGAATGTTCAGATTCTCAGCGGAAGAAATGTGCTTAGCCTACATGTGCTGTTTGGTAATGTTATATTTCACAAGCAGGATATTCCTACATTCAACACTAAATGTTAACTTGATTTATACAGCAGTTGAACTTTTCAACTTGTGGTACGTTAGGACAGGAAAAGAAGTTTCACGAATTTCTGCTGCAATTCTACAACCGTTTCTATTAATGCAATGGCTTTATGTAAGAATGTGTGTAAGGTTTCTCCTTAGTCACTGCCTTAATTGTTTTGTACACACCCCTTTTAAGCATTGCCTAATCTCCAAAAATAAGTCTTCAGCAAAGAATTCACCTGGGCTTTGTTCCAATGTGATCCATTGGGACATTTTGATATGTCAGGCAGTGTTTTGTAAATAATGGCAGTCCCTTTGTTAAAAATCTTTAATCTTTTAAATCTATTTTGCTTACTATAATACTTTCAAGTACAGGTTGTTTAGAGTAATTTGACAACTTGTAATAGTTTTCTTGTCAAGTTCTTCATCTTCCACCCGCTTTCTTGTAACACTTTGTTTCTGTGCTGCTTACCTGCAGCTGTTTTAAATATATTCTACATATTCAACTTTAACCATAACTCTGAAATGAAACGCACACGTTTACTAAAACCCTGACCTTGATATAACATTTCTGTCAGACCACTAACCCCCCAAAATGTCCAACTTCCTCCTGAGGAAATTTCAATCTGAGCTGGGTCCTCTTTATGATAAGAGCACCACACACACACGCACACACACGCACACGCACGCACACACACACCATTATGTGTCACCCCTGCCCCTGTTTCTGGTAAGTGTGTTTCTAAGCGTAACACTCCATTTACTACCAATGTAACCCACCCCACCTGTCACTTTACCATACTCAGATGACTCACTGTGGTGACAATACTGTACGGTACCACGTCACACTTCCTGTCTGCCTGTCTGTCTATCCCATAGTCTGTAAAACACTGCAAACAAAGCGTGGATGTGCGAGGGTGTGTGTGTCTCCGCCCCTTCTTACTCCTACCTCTCCCGCACATGACATGATTTAGGGGAAAAGAAACACCACAATCAAAACTAAAACTCCAGCATGGTAAGTTTAAATAAGTTTTATTCAAAATATAATAAAAACATTAAAAAGATTATCTGTCTGGCAGATACGTTTGAATAAGAGGTGATGTGCGTCTGCAATACAGTACAACTTCACACCAGAACTCGTGACACCAATACCATCTGACATCCTCGATAATATTTCAGATATCAAATGGTATTCAAGCCCTAAGTGCTGGCAAACATTCATGTGTGATGTAAACATTCAACAACATTAGAGTATTAAAGTCTGCTACAGAAGTCAATTCTTCTTCCTGTGAATCTTTTAACCGTACCCTCCAAAAAGTATTTTGTGTTGATGCTCTCAATGTCCACCCACAATCCACTTTTAGATATTTGTGTGCGACTGGTGGCCACAAACAGGCGACAACAGACCCTATAGTTTGCAATAGAACATTCACATTTGACCCCACTTCTTCATTTATAGCTCTATTGTGTCTGTTTCTTAATGCCGCTTTTCCCAACTTGTTATACTTCCGTGAGAACAGAATGTGATCTCTCCGTGTGCAATAAGAGTCTCTGGAGGTAATGTGTGTTGAAATGCCAAGCTCTGTCCTATTATAGACAGCCTTTACTTGACTGTGGTCATGATGTCTCTTGTGAACCATTTTGCAGTTTTTAAGCCCAGGTAATGGACATACTTTCATGTGTGACCATGACAACGCAGTCTTAACGTCCATCGCATTATGAGCAGTCTTTACCAAACACTCCTCCGGATTACTGTTCATCAGTAAAAAGGTCCTTCTTGAAATGAATAATAATACAATCAAAACTTTGAGAGGCAATCTGGTCACAGTTTGTAAGGGAATTCCATGAGGAAGCCTTGGACAACATGTGTGAGTGGCAGCTCGGACACCTGCCCCCCCCCACACAGCTCCATGATGCGCTTCCTGCACAGCTCCTGCAGCGTCGGCTTCCATTTCCTGTACGGGACGCTAAGGCTCTTCTTGGGAGAATTGATGTAATGCTCCAAGAGGGCGAAGAGCGACGGGAAGGAGCGCTCGTTGCCCGCCAGTGAGAACTTCCGCTGCTTGTAGTCGATGCGCACGCTGACCGGCCCGCTGCTGCCGTGGTAGGACAGCGTGAAGAAGACGTCTTTCTGCCGGCTGTCACGGATGAGGAAGCTTCCCAGAGGAGCGTCCCTCAGCATGCGATGGGCGTCCTCCACTCCCAGAGGACCCCAGTAGAAGGCGCTGTGTTCGAGCTTGGCTGCTGTGTCCGTAATGATCTTGCAGTCCTCCTTACAAGAGAATGTGGGGAAGTGTGTGAGGTACACCGAGGGGACCGACACCGACCTCGGGCTGGGATCGTCCCGACGCTGAAGCTCTGACTCTGTTCGCTGAGGGTTGAGAGAGAGGTCGTTCCTAGCCAGCGGTAATGACAGGGACGATGATGAAGAACAGGATGAGGTTGACGATGACGATGAGGATGAGCTAGACAACCTGGTCTTGTCAAGGCCTTCCACTGTGCTGTTGGCTACCATCCTACAGGGGAGAGTGGCCCCAGACCCTCTCCCATCTCTGAACACCTCACTGACATCCTGAGAGAGAAGAGAAGAAAAGTTATTATTAAAAATCTATTTATTTCCCATTTAAGTCAGTAAGAAAGAGTTAGATCTTCAGGACAAATATATAAAGACGATGGCAGTGAACAACATGAATATGTTAGGCAATGACAATGTAAGGATGCTCTAAAAGGAGAAATAAGTCTATATGTGGGGTGTGGTGTGTGTGTGTGTGTACAATTAATGTCTCATTCAAGTTTCCATGGAGCTGTACTGTGTTTTGTATGAATGGAATATGTGGTGAGGTCATAATACAGTAAACTGATGTCAGCCGCACTCAGATTACTGTACACTGCCTGTATACACACATATACTACACACACACACAGACACACACACTGATATACATAGCCTACACAGTTTGAGGGGTTTATAGCAGAAGCACTTAAGCCTTACTGACTGAAATTCCAGGTTAAATGCAGGCTTGTTTTAGTCAATGACGAATTAATTATGTATTTAACCTTTACATTTTTTAATTGAAAGTAGTTGTGTTTCTTCACAAACATTTGTTTTAGATTCCAGGAAAAATTAATGATTAACATTATGTGTTTTGTTCACTTCAATGTCATCTAAAACAAATAATGAACCATGGAGAAGGATAACATTTAAATGATACTCATATTTCCATATAAGGGGGGAAATGAGATTTCCCTTCGGAAGAGTTTATTTTTTTAATGTCTGCATTAGCTCTCAACGTTTTACAGCTGCTGTTAACATCTGGTTAGTGTGTTGCAAAATGAAAACTCCAGCATGTATTTTTGTCTAAAAAGTCAATGCAGTTCAACAAAAGTGCAATCTCCTACTTTTCCACTACACTCCGCCCAAGGAAAAAAGCAGCCATGAATGCTGCAAAGCACCATTTATATCATGCAGAAACCCCAAACAGCGAAATATGTATTTTAAATTTGAAAGACTTACCGTTTTATGCTAACAACAGCAGCTGTTTAGTGATCGGTATGTGTGTGTCTGTAATCCCAAAGTGCACTGAGATGCAATCCGTTTATCTCCTGCTGGTAATCCGTGGCGCAGCGTGGAGTTGTGAGTAAAACACAGTTTTACAGCTCTAACTTTATGGATCTGCTGTCTGTGATCTCCACTCCACAAACTACTCTCGTGTGTGTGCCGGTGATAAACAGTTCTTGACTTTATAAAGCCGTAGCTCCCCCTCTTGTTTCCCTGAACAGCTACACAGAGGCAGATCTTTTCCTTGAAACTGCCAGCCAACGAAAGTGAAACCCATGAAGTGTGAGCCGTGTGATGTTTAATTTCGTTTCAAGTCATTTATTATTAAGAGAATTTCGTGAAAACCGCAAAGCCACATGACAGCTGGACGCTTACAGAAAGACGGACAGATGCGAGTAATGGCGGCGTTTATAATAAAAGAAGCAATACTGCAGAGTAAAAATACTCATTTACAAGAATCAGTCCTGCATTCAAAATTAAATAAAAATACAAATGTATTAGCATCAAAAATGTACTTTAAGTACCAAAAGTATGCGTTATGCAAATGGTAACAGATATTTGTAATTACTTATACTAATTATTGGTGCATTAATGTAGTCATAATTTAAATGTTGCACTTGGTAAAGTTGGGGTTTATTTGAATTACATTACTGGGTAGCTTAACCTATAATACTGTGAGCCAATTTATATTTTGTATTAATAACCTAAATCTGCAAAGTAACTAAATGTAGTTGAGTAAAAAGTCCAACATTTAATGTAAAAATACTAAATACTTTAGGTACTTGTAAAGTACAAGTACCTAAATTGTTTTACTTAAGTACAGTATTTGAGTAAATGTACTTTGTTACATTACACCACATTTTATCACTCACGGTTTGAGTGTTTCATTTTTACAGTTATTTTTGTGTCACTTCTGTCCTATCTCACACACACACACACACACACACACACACACACACACACACACACACACACACACACACACGGACACGGACACACGGGTTTATCTGTATCTATCTCTCAGTTTTTTGTCCGTTCACTACAAATGCTTAAAAACAGCAGTCATTTATCAATCCTTGCGTAGTGCTGCCTTTGATGCAATATTCATTATCAAAATGTCAGACCAAGTTTTATTTGGCATTTAGTCTCAGATTTTGCAGAAGTTCCTGAGAAAAAAGAATCGGGCAGTTTAGCTGTTTTGTTTTTTTTACTTTACCTAACAAGGAATTGTGATAATGATCGCTGCAGCCATGACATGTATAACATCAAGTCACATGAAAAGTATGAGGTTGTTTCTAAATACAGCAGGGACCAAATCAGTTGACTCAAGCCAAGAGGGAAACCAAACCAATGGTGCACTTCTTCATTTGTTGATAATAGCAAGCTCTTCTGCAGAAAAATGTGTGGTGATTCATCTCAGAAATGATTGTATTGTGACATCCTGACCTTTCATTATTTTAGCTTTTCACTCCTAGCTACATAATGCCCTTTCCTTTGTCAATCCAATTTGTATAATATGTGTAGTATTGGATGCAGATGACACATATATCAGTTATTAGATGACCAGTGAGACTTGGAGGCGTGGTGTTTATAAGTAAGCGCCAACTGTTTCACATGAAGTCAAAAGACCCCGCAGTCATAAATTCCTGCTGTCTATCTTCTGTGATTTGACATGACTTAATTAGAGTTCCATGCCAAATGGATCATGCATTTTGAAATATCTGTGTAATGTAGAGTGACTCTGTTGTAACTTGTAAGTACATTCTAAATATACCTACACATAAACGTTCCATGCTAAATATACAGAGACTATCAACAGTTGGCATCACCATTCAAGACCAAACATTTGTGGAGAGGGAGCCAGAAGAACTAAGCCCAAGGTGTTCAGGTTACATCAGAGCGAGGCACACAAACTGAAAGTTAAGGAAAGCTTCGGTCAGCTGGCTTAGCTTAAAGAGGCAGACAGACAGGCAGATAGGCAGGCATGTTATAACCAAATGTGGTGTGAGGTCATAGTGTATGTCTTTGTAAGGCTTAGTTCAATTTTATCTGGACTAGTCTTGACTCAACTAGTTCTCACATTAGCCAGCTGGTTCTATGATGTGCATCTGGAGGTCATAATCATGTGTTAATCATAGTGTTGAGATAAAACTCTTCCTACTGAAAAATGTTTAAAGGGCCAGTGTGTTAAATATAGAAGGATTTATAAACTGATATGGAAAATATTATTCATTTGTTTTCATTTATGTATAATGATCTAAAATATATTTTTGTTAGAATGAGGCCTTCATATCTATATCGGAAACGGGTCATCTTCCATGACACTTCTACAGTAGCTCTGAAGGGACAAACAAGCGTTGGCTTGAGAGAGGGCCTTTAACTTTTTAATGTTATCTAAATTGTGTTGCTTTTAAAGTTGTGTTATGGTAAGAAAGGCTTTTACGGTACCTGAAGTTCCTGAGAAAGAAAACGGCGTTAACACAGCTTTTTACCCCAGTTTTGTAAAATTAGGAGCGAGCAGAGGGATATTCTGTTGGTTGAATCTGCAACCATAATGCGTAACACTCCCAAATCCTACACACTGTCTCTTTAAGGGACTGAATAGACACAATCCAAAACCACATTTTATTGGGAACTCGGCACATTATAGTCAGTTTACAGGTCTTATTAAACATAGTTTGATGAAGCCTTTTGGGGCTCCAAAGACTCAAAGTGTTAAATATGAAAAGTATTCTGGTGTTGACGAGTTTGGAAGAAAAGAGCATACCAGACATTTGCAGCTGCTTCCAACTCTGCCTGAGGTTAGCGGGCCGAGGCTATATTAGCTGCTGCTACTAGCATAACACACCCGAATAAAGACATAGTAGAATGTCGCAAAATGCCATAATGAAGTATGTAACCAAAAATCATATTATTGTATGCCCTTAAATGTCATAAAAACTTTACAGGAGACATAGTATAGTATTTCCTAAACTGAATTGCATTGTGGGTTAAATAAAGCCAGGTTGGAAATTAGGAAGATGGATGTTTAGCTTTTTTTGTGTGTTACAGGATTGCAATGCTAAATTGGAGGAGTTCTCGTTTAAAGTTGTTCATTTTTCTAGCTGTAAGTTTCTTCACCTTGGTTGCAGGAATATGATAATATATCCCAAGTGCAAGACTTAATTATACCTTTTGTAGTCAAGGCTTCACACCCTGTATCAGTGCTGTTTATATCTGCTGCAAGATGTGAGTAAGTGAGGAGTGAGACAGGCAGAGAAAGAGAGGCCGGAGTAAACCTCTCTCTCTAATCAGAACCACACTGGGAATCTGGATTTCTGCCACTGCCCCGTCTGCAATTATTGCATGTATACTGCAGACATATTGTTAATCCCTATCATCTGCTTTGAACAAGGCAGTTTGTTTGTGTGTGTGTCTTACCTGCGAAATAGTCCGTACTCGTTGTTTCTTGCATGTGTGCGTGCTCCATGAGTTTCATTTCTGTGAAACAGGGAGAGAAGCAAGAGACTGAAACATAGCCGGCTTCACAGATGGCATGTTGTGTCTAATTTATGATCTTGCAGACTGTTGACAATCTGTGTTTGTGTGCATGGATGAATGCAGCGATTCGATGGAAAATACATGAATGCGTGCATTAAAACGAAAAAATGGCTGTGAGTTTTTGCAGTTTAAATGATCTGGAATCAGTTTTATTTTAAGAAAATAATCTAATGCTCTAACTACCAAATAAACATTTTATAACTAGTTTTTTTTTCAATGTTTTTTTTTAATCTTTTGTCTGCAGTGTGAGAGGGTTCGATGGTTTGATGAAAGACAGATGGATAAAAAATGCAGCATATGGGGAAATCCGTTTCTGCAGCTTCCAGTCCTGCAGGAGCACTTTGTATCAAACTATAGCTTTGTCGGAGTTTATATGTACGTTTAAAGGTTGCAATATGCTGAAAATATCGTAACACATACAGGTTATAATATTATGAATAATTACAGATAAAACTCATCATCATACATGCACTCTGGTCATTTGTGCAGGAGTGATCTGATGCTTTGCACTTTTATTTCTATGATCTGCATAGAATATTATAACTATTTTAGTTAAAATGCATCATTAGATCTGCTGTTTTCAGCTTGCAAAACATCAGATAGTCTTTTGTCACACATGGGAACGGTAATTATGTAATGATGAACAGGACCTAGTTGTCTGTATGGGTGTATCCTCACCAGTGGCTTTCTTTCAGGGAAATTGAAACCTTAGGAACCCCATGTTCTGGTGAAAGCTACTCACCGCCTCCCTCCAACTATTCTCATTATTTTTACTTCATTGTCTTTCTTATCGCTGTTCTTACTATAAAGTCAACATCATCCCTCCCTCCAAATGCAGTTATCCAGCCTTGCTCCACACCAGAATGAGCTTTCAGTATGAGGACAATCAGAAAATATGTACGTTAAGTTATCGTCTCCTAGGCTCCACTTTCACTTTGCTATACTGTCATTTTTATATATTGTTTATTCAGTGATAAGCATTTCTGGTAAATACTAAATGGCCCAGACAATGTGTGTGTGTGTGTGTGTGTGTGTGTGTGTGTGTGTGTGTGTGTGTGTGTGTGTGTGTGTGTGTGTGTGTGTGTGTGTGTGTGTGTGTGTGTGTGTGTGTGTGTGTCAGTTAGTTTCATTTTGTGTAGTTTACTATCTCAAACCTGTAATTGTTTTATTATGTACAAGTAGACCATCGGGCAAAAGAAGGAAATAGAGCCACAAATCTATTGACTAAGGGGCGGTCTCTATCACAACAGAGCCGGCCTGATCACCATCAAAGCAGACTTGTCTCTGGTTTCAGACAGAGGGTGGAAAGAGGTGCTGCAGCACAGGCAGTATGAGAAAGATAAAGAGCTTTTTGAACATTAAAGCATGGAGACATGTCACGGTAGAGACACAAAATACAAATATGAAACCTAAAATGAGCATAAAAGGGCCCCTTTAAGTAAAAGGCTAGGAAGGTTGGTTGATTTGGAGATGTGCATTCTGGGAAATGTATTGGATACTTTGAAAAAGCAATGCTACTTTCCCTTTTGCCTGTAAGTGAACTTGGCAGCCAGCCTTCTTTGGTTGTTGCCAACCACCATAAAATCTCATCAAATAGTTAATGTTTATACATTTTGTGATTTCTCAGATCAACAAAACGTATTTCTGACCAGCAGCCAAAGCATTTTAATTAATATCAAACCCAGCCAG